AAATTACAGGCACATGGAACTTGTCAACTTACGTCTCATGGTGACGAGTGCCCCTAAGATCTTTGCGATTTTAAGCTCTGAGTAGCACTGCAACTGTTATGGACAGGCGTGTAGATTAGCATCAGACACACGACTTGTCCGCCCCGTCACTTGATATCATAAAAGACTTGAATAGATCTTCATAAAAATCTAATTCAAATGTTCTATTGCATACATGTTGTTAAATAAAGGTCTTAAATTAGTACACACAGTACCAACATGAACCCTATAAGGGCACAGTAATGTAAATTTTTAAGTACATTCAAAATGTGGAAGAAGAATATAGAAATTATTACAAATAGTCAAAAGTACAACTAAGTAAAATTATTTTATTAAATTATATTATTTTAAATTAGCTAAATTAAAAATATAAAGATTATTGCAAATTGTCGCAGTAAGATTAAATAGTGTATTTGTATAATAGTTGATGTCAATTTTATTCTAAAATAATTTATCTTCAAAATATTCTCGAATAGAGCAATAGCATTTGTCAATTTTTTATTTCTAAGTAGTTTAACAATTTTGATTTTTCGTTTTTTATTTCATTAGGTAATTTATTATACATTTTAATGGCTATTTCATGTGAACTAGAAGACACTAATTTTAATTTGGATGGCTGTCCGATTAAATTATTTTTATACCGGGACGGATAGCGTCGAGATTGGTCGCCTTCTCGAATCGTATTGTACGTGTGCGGATATCGTGAAATTTGTAATGAGTATGGAATAATTCGGTAATAATTTTACGATTTTGGGCGTAAACCCGGTTAACACCCGAGCGGTTTGATTGGGTTTTAACACACTGCTCATCTCTGATTACAATACTACTCTATCAACTAATGTCTCAGGGTGACAGGCTCAGTGGTAGTGTTCCTTAGATCTTTGTTCGTCCCGTCAATTGATGTTATATTTGAAAAATGTTATTTATTTGTATACGTCTGTACATAATATGTATATGTATAGTAATTGTAACTTTTTTTATTAAAAAAAAGGCCTCAAAAGTTCCTGGAATCACATTTATTTGTCTGTTTTATTGAAATCGGTCACCGGAAAGTGAGCGAAACCGGATTAATCCCCTAGTGTGCCACCCTTAGAGGTGGAATATTACCTTCAAATTCGAATGGGAACTATACTGAGGTACCCTCTTTCCAACAAAAAAATCTTCAAAATCGGTTCACAAGTCATCGCGTAACATACATACAAAAAGAAAAACTGCAGTCAAAGTGAGACCGTTCTCCTTTTTTTTAAATCTGTTAAGAACCTCTTCCATTTTTTAAATCGGTTAAAAATGACGCAATTTTTCTTTGTTTATTTGTTGGCCTGTCAAAAGTATTGGAATCCTTCCTATGTATGTCGTTAAAAGTTAATTAGGTAATAACATAATTATTTTGGAACATTATCGTGTATATTATCTACTCACTGTTGCTTCATATTGACTATACAATAAGATGTTGCAACCATTGTTCTACTCTATTATATCGAATTGTTATGTTTTGTTACTATGCCTCTAATAAGTTTATGATATTGATATAAATTGTTTAAATGCGTACAAATGTTTGTGGAAATCTTATCTCTCGGCATTTATTTTTATTTATACCTACCATTATCTGTAATTAACATTATCAGCGGAATCGTGGTGTTACCCATTCAAAAGCATATCAAAGTGCCAAATCGACAATTAGTCTTAAAATGTAATGTATTCTAATACTACTTTTTCTAAGTCACAAAGTGTTGTCTGGTGTAAAATAGTTCTCCAAATATTGAGCGTGTGTTCCTACCGAATTTACTTTAGGGAAAGAGTTAATATAAATTAATTAATTATTAAATATTTAGAGACACGTCATCTACAGACTTGTTTTCCGATTTTGAAGATGAGCACCCCTCAGCATCACGACTAGGAGTTTTCGACACCCGAAGTGCGGAATCGTCTACATATCTGCCCTCACTACCGGACCCGCGTAACAAACTTATATATCTTAGTTTAATAATTTACGTGCCAAAAATCGTCAATATTTTTTTGCAAGCTTGATAGTTATTAGCATGATATTTTTGATTTAATTGAATCAAACCTTTAATGTATTATTACGTTTAGGTGTTTAAAAAAAGGTGAGTCAACGAGAAACCGTCCGAACTGTAGGGTTAGTACAATGGAACGCGTCTTGCGCGAGAGCAACATAAGCGCTAGATCTCTATGCGAGAATAGCGGTATCTCGCGCGTTATATCGCTCCCGCTCAAGTCGCGCCCTGTCGTGCTAACCCTATTGATATGTTGGTGTACACCAGGCGACTAATCGATGCACTAATTTTAAATTCAAGGACCCGTTCAGTAGGGCTAGCACGATAGGGCGCGACTAGCGCGAGAGCGACATAAATCGCGACATAATGCTATTCACGCATAGAAATCTCTCGCGCAAGTCGCGTCTCATCGTGCTAGCCCTACAGATAGGTAGAAGAACTCTTCTGTCTTCGTATGGAAAATTATTCTTATAAACCAATCAATCGTGAATGGCCGAGTTCGAAAGTGTTAATTAGGGTTTTAAAATTAGCCAAATGCATTTTATATTATTGTAATCATCGACCTTGAACCACACAACCATCACCGCGTTTAAATTATTGACTGATTTATTCAATCCACGTGTGCATGCTAATGTAATATAATTGAAAAAGAAACATGTTACACCTGGTTTAGTCTGTTGAAGTGCATGTGAGTTATTGTATACTATACCTTCAATATATTTGTATGTCAAAATGTTTGGCCAGACTCAGTGAAATTACACTTATTTTGTACATGTCAACTTCTACACAACCTGGTTTTTCACAAATAAATTGATTATGAACGATATACGATTAACATATCATGTGTAATTATTGATTATTTTTTATAAATGAAAATAGCATCCAAATATATAATAATTCTGTTTTATTGCATCATTTAAAGTAGGCAATATTGTACAAAAAAAATGTGGGTTACACCACTTTTGTTCTGATAGCTTTAATTATAATAGGATTCTAAAAAATTTGCACTTGACGTGAAGTTCTTTCAAAAGCAAGTAGACTCTGTTGTTGCAAACGCCTTCAGCGATGATGACCAACTCCCATCAAGTGGTGGTGGTGATACTTTATAAAAAAAAATTAGGCTGTGGTCCAGACAACAATATAAAATACATAGCCAAAATTATAATAATCATCTTTATTTGCCAAAACATCCAAAGTAAAACAAAGTACAATAATACCATTTTAAACCTATGATAATATTTAAAAAGCATTAGAATATAAAACCTTAAATATTATACAATCATTATTAAGCTATACAAAGAGCTCTAATAATGTAGTTGCGATGTTTAAACTAAATAAATAAGTACCTGCATTTTAGACATCTCGTTTGTACATAAAGTGCTTAATAACAGATTAGGTATATTTATTTGACAACAAAACAATAAGTTCAATCAAGTCAGTATAATTTAGTTACGAGATAACTTCTAACAAGGCTTTTGTATCATCATAAGTTCTATTCTAAAAGCCAGGCTTTGACGGTCTTTTTTTTCTTTTTGAAGTTGTCTACGAAAAAAAAAGGTATCGAGTCGTCTTTGCTTGGTTAGAAACATGGGATCCAACAGAGTGATTGAGTACTTTAAAGAAAGAAAGTAATATTAACAACGTTATTTTTGCCAGTCTCGCGGTACCTGCATTAAGCATAAACGTGCACATATAGCATTTTTGGCACACAGTTTATAAGAAAAAAATTTTCGTACAACCAAATCTATATAACAAATGTCAATTAACACTACGTCAACTTAATTTTTGAGCGTGTTCTGTTTTTGTTTCCTTTTATTTCTTTTTTTCACAAAATTCTGTTTCCGTGTTTTTTTTTCGAATTTTGCGTTTTGTTTCTTTTTTTTAACAAGTCCAGGAAGCATAATATTAATAATAATAACGCACACACTCATAGCCCTGCATTAAGGAAACCCTGTATCGCGGGTGCTATGAACACACACACATGGACAACCACAAATTACACCCAAAGTCATGAGAGAAATAATTACAGGCCATACAAATATTTCTCCGGGCCTTGGAAACGAACCCAGGAACTCTGAGTGGCAGTCCAGCACGGTAACCGTTCGGCCACTGAAATATTTAAAATATTGGTATATAAATATGGCTGTTTACAAAAATAACGCAAAATGACCAAAAAATAAATATGGTTGTTTATTGTTTACAAAAATAACAGAAAATGACCAAAAAAGAAAGTTGTACCGAGCTCGTATATCACATAGTCGAATGGGAAGCTGAACATAATGTTACTTTTGGCTAAAAATTGTTTGAGATAACTTATTATGAGAAATATTTATAATTTTCAGTATTACACCCACCTGTAATAAATATACCGTTACCGTTGCTTAATAAAAACAATTTGCACCTACATAATTATCTTCCGAAACCGCATGTACCAAAATATTTATGTTGAACTGGAGACCTCGTGAGCGTGTTTACTTTTAATGGTGATAATGTTTTATTTCTGACACAATACATTACTTAAATTCCCATAACAAAATTTTATTTAAGATGTACCCATTCTGTATTGGATGTACACAAGATTGTTTCCTTGAAAACCTAAGATAAGCGACCAAAAGTAACTTAAAATTTCATTTCCCTCACAATGGAAATATTGCGTGTTTCATAAACGTCTACTAAATGATGCAATCAACAGACAACTGTTTAATTGGAGCACACGCCGCTCGTAACGCGCCGTAAGTAATTCCAATGCTCAAATTGAGACTCTTGATGCATAGCCGCTGGCTTCATATCCGTTGCTACCAGATGCCGCCGCCGAATAAATAGGGTCAGTGCTGTATGTCGTTGCTCCGTAAAGAGAGAAGTCGAGTTTGCGACTGCGCGAGGTGTGACGGGGGCTTTGCCCCGCACCTCGGTCCCCGCGAGCAGGCCTATGTCCCCCTCGCAGTTAGCCCGCCAGCATTCTGCATTTAACGCGAGGGCGAAGCGCACGCCCGTGTTTTTAACCGACTCCGACCGACGCGCCGCGCGCTGCGGCTAGTGCAACCGCCATGTTTGACGTTTTCGGCTCCGTTAAGGGGCTTCTGAAGCTCGACTCAGTGTGTATCGACAACAATGTGTTCAGACTCCACTACAAAGCCACCGTGATTATCTTGATTGCGTTCTCCTTGCTCGTTACCTCGAGGCAATACATCGGCGACCCCATTGACTGCATCGTCGATGAAATACCGCTCGCCGTGATGGACACATATTGCTGGATCTACTCAACATTCACAATTCCTAACCGGCTGATTGGCCGCATAGGACATGACGTGGTGCAACCTGGAGTAGCTTCACACGTCGACGGCAAAGACGAAGTAAAATATCACAAATACTACCAGTGGGTGTGTTTCGTGTTGTTCTTCCAAGCGATCCTGTTTTATGTGCCGCGTTACTTGTGGAAATCATGGGAGGGTGGCAGAATAAAAATGCTCGTGCTGGATCTCAATTGTCCTATTGTGGGGGAATCCTGTAAAAAGGACCGAAAGAAGTTGCTTGTTGATTATTTTCATACAAATTTACACACACAAAACTTTTATGCATTCCGTTTTTTCATCTGTGAAGTGCTAAATTTCATCAACGTCGTGGGGCAGATATTCTTTATGGATTTCTTCCTAGACGGCGAATTCTCAACTTACGGCAGTGACGTAGTCAAGTTTACTGAAATGGAACCTGAAGAACGTGAAGATCCTATGGCTCGTGTGTTTCCCAAAGTAACCAAGTGCACCTTCCATAAATATGGTCCTTCGGGAACCGTTCAGAAATTCGACGGACTTTGTGTGCTGCCGTTGAATATTGTGAATGAAAAGATCTACGTATTCCTATGGTTCTGGTTTATTATCCTTTCTGTGTTAAGTGGAATCTCTTTATTGTACCGCATGGCAGTGGTGGCGGGACCTCGCGTGCGCCTTTATCTGTTGCGCGCACGCAGCCGTCTCGCTCCCCAAGAGCAAGTTGAAACTGTTGCCCGTAAACTACAAATCGGTGACTGGTTCGTGTTGTATCAGTTAGGAAAGAATATCGACCCACTAATTTACAAAGAACTGATGAGTGAATTGGCTGAAAAGTTTGAAGGGAAGGACGCTGTGTAGTTGACGTCTTTGTGCTCATTGGGAGAGAGTGAGGTGCTGTTATGTGATCGGGGTCCGGTCCGCGTCTCGGGTCTAGCGGCCTGCGGTGCAGTGTGGCAACGCGTGGTACGTCTACCTGCTGTCGCTGAGCGCTGCGCCCGCGCCGCGGACCGGGCGGGGCGGACCGGGCGCACACAAAGAGCGCCGGGAGCGGCTGCACGCCGACATTCCATTACCGGGGAACGACCTCCGCTGGGTCACAGTCATTGTATTGCAGAACCGCTTTAAACTTTTAACGCTACTGTATGACATTTTATAGTAGATGAAAACTCTTCCAAAACGCAATTATTTCGACTGATATTATGTTTGACGCGCAAGCATTTAGAGAACGTTTTTGTGTTTGCATAAAATTGTCGTAGCGAGATCTCGTGCCTTGGTTATGTATTTGTATTATTATTATACGTGTGCGAGTGGGGTGTTAGGGGACGTTCTCATTGTGATATGTAATTATTATTAATCTAAATTAAGTGTTTATCGTGTACGAGATTGATTGTGTGGACTGCTGGCTTAATCCTAAGTTTGAATAGCTAATGTGTACGTCTTTGTTATCGATACGGTATTGTATAAAGCAATAATGAACTATTAATTTTAAGAGATCAATTATTCGAATTCGACGGACAATACTGTAGTTTTACTGAACGACACTAAAACTTTTTGTACTTGACGATATGATACGAGTCAATTTATCACGGTTAATATTTTCTGAATATATTTACTACAACAAATATTTTGTGTTATTCTCTTGGTCATTCCTGGTAATTAAGTTTAGTACCTAATAAGGTCGAAGTTCTAAAGAACAGAAAATAGATAAATGATGCTTTGTTTACAATGACATCGCATTGTTTGATGTACGTGGCGCCATCTATCGGTGCTCGAGAGAAGCATCAACGGTACCCGACAGCGCCATCTTCTCGATTCCGATATTTTTCTTAATTCACATTTATACAAAGTTATGAATTAAAATTATAGCTTTTTACAATTTGGCGGACTTAGTGTGTTTTAGCAAAAACTTGTTCACCATAATTTTGTGCAGGATGGACCGGAACTTGAATCATAATGAGATGAGTGATGCGAATTTCGTCGGTCTAATTTTTTTAACTAGTCTGCCAATTTTCGGTCTGTTAACTTTTGCATAAAATTTAGTTACGTCATAATATTATATTACAGATCTGATATTATATTGATCTGATAATAAATTAATTTGAATTGTAATGATGTAAAGTATGTACACCTACCAAATTTATAAATAATATGTAAATGAGGATTATGTATTTCAAACTAAAAAATTGATATGGTGCATTCCGTTGAAGATTTATGTCTAACTTTAGTTGCTAAATTGCAATGGCATTCACAAACAGCTAATTTATAACAACAGCAGCTCTGCAGAACATGTTTGTGAATATGGGGCACTTTCCAGAAATTCCAGACCAGACACAATCTAGAAAAAGCCATTTCCCAAATGAGTCCTACCAGGAATCGAACCACGGACCCCCTCAGTCTTCCTCTACCGATCCACTGAGGTCGTCAAATACGATTTATTTTTTTATTTAACACACATCGCTCATTTAGTGCAACATTGACTTAATTGCAATTTTGGCATAATTGAATTAAGACTTAATTAATTACATATTAACATCCTTTATCCAAATTTGCCAAAATTACAATTACATCAATGTAGCACCAAATAAGCGACATATCAATGACATTACTAAAGCATACAGTATTGTAAAAACCATAGCTGGTTTGACTCAATACTGGTGAGCTCATATTCTATCCTTACGCTTAATATTTATTTCACACACTTAATTCAAGCATAGACCTAATTAGACCATATTGACATGTGGGTATTTCATGAAAAAATTAAACTATTTAGTACTAAAAAACTTCCATGGTTATTCACTAAATGATTTTGCCAAGTTATGAGTTTCACACCACGATATAGCTTCCTAATTTCTTTCCTGACATTTTAAAGTAGTTTAGAAGGGCACTATAACCTGTGCCCTGTAACCCAGATCAGCCAGTGTACAGGGTTGTCACAGACCTATGTCACGTGACTTCATCCGGTTTTCGTGAGGCTAGAGCCTAGGGTGAGCCTCCCCGGAGCTGTAGGCACGCTCACTCCCCGTAGCACATTGCACAACTACCAAATCTTCTCATTGATGGCGGAGCTGTAAGGCAAGCTCACTTCCCGACGCTGAAAAGCATGTACAGACAGTCCCAAATCTTTCTACATAAGTTTTGTTTATAGTGCCCCTCCACCACCACCAATCTCTTGGTTATGCGGAAAGGGCACCACGACCTGTGCGAGCGAACCCGCACAGGCACCAATTGCACAGACGGAGAGTATACATAAATCGAATAGGTAACAACTTTAGCCCAACTAAAACCACTCTAGCAGCACAAAATTTGAAATTTTACACGAGCAACATTTAAACTTTAACTTATTACTAGTTATTACTTTAGGTTAATACTTGGTATACACTCCGCATATTAGCTTGGTGCAGCAAGCGAACAGCAGGCGAAAACTGAAAATCAACAATGCTGAATCTTTAACCTTTTTGTCCACATCACTCAATTATATTCTCTATTATTTTTTATGTATTGTGTTTCCTGTTTTGTGGAGAAATAAATGTTTTTTATCTTATTTTAATAGAATTGGTAATCTTTTGAAATAAATGTGAAACGCCCAATCACTCTCCTGATATAAGAACGGTTTATTAATAACATAATTTCGCAATCATCATTATCGAGTATTTCTTTATCGACGAATAAAGCCGACATTTTCGGTGACCTCCAAGGGATTAAAACTAATTAGTTATTTGGCGAAAGATGCCTATTGCTAATGTAACTGTGTCTTTCAATCTAAAAACATTCACGATTTTGCTTAAAATTACACTTGAAATCTAGGAGCAATAATTATAGCTTTATTATAAAAAAAAACCGATCTCAGAAGTTCGTTGAATTACATATAATTGCAAAGTTTTATTGAAATCGATTACCGGAAAGTGCTCGAAACCGGATTCATCCCTAGTTTGCCACCCTTGGAGTTGGAATATTTCCTTCAAATATAAACGGGAACAATATTGAGGTACCCTCTTTCCAACAAAGAAGAATCATCAAAATTGGTTCACAAAAAATCGCGTTACATACATACAAAAAAAACCATACTGAGAGCCTCCGTCTTTTTTGAAATCGGTTCAAAATAAATTTAAACTAGTACTACAAAAACAGAATACATAGCTAACTGTAAATTACTGATATAATTGTCGTATATAATGTATGTGTGTCTGAGCGTGTGTGATGGTGAATCTAAAAACAATACATATACATACAATTGAAATCTGTGACCTAAAAAAATTTAACTCTAAGAGTTGCCCTTTGTAAATGGACACATTTGTACACATTTACCTTTTACATTAATATTTACTTCAAATATCACATATACATCAAAACAACTTGCTCAACAGGTCACTACAGGATTTTTGTTATCTAAGTACAAAGAAGCTATAAAGGAACGTATAAAGTTTTTGCTTCTTTATAGTAGTTTCATTGTACACAACTACAGATTTTTGTCATCCAAGTACGAAGAAGGTGTATAATAAATAACCTTTAGTGTAAAGTTTTAAACCTCGTGAATGGCAAACTTTAAATATCTTTGAGTAGCTATAGAGGTCCTTGTGAAAGAGCTCATCCAGGGAAGTACTGCCACCTTACCTATTTCCGCCGCCAGGCGCTAATGTAAACATTACTGCGTTCCGGTTTTGAAGGGTGCTGGTGAAATTACATTCAGATGGGACTTGTAAACTTGTGTCTCAGGGGTGATGGAAGCAGAAGCAGTACACCTCCGATCTTTGCGATTTAAAGCTAAACAGGCGTGTCGTTTAGCATCAGGCGCAGACTTGTTCGTCCCATCAGTTAGTGCCATAAAAACAAAAAAAATTATCAACCGGGATCTTATTACAGAAGTGTATATGTATTGCCCCTTAAATGGATTTGTGATTTGTGAAGACGATAGTCAAGAAAGTTAGTTTATTTTTATTCCTCGTATTAATGTTAATTTTATCACTTATTTTTCCTGAAAAAATTCTTGTATAACATAAATTATTTTCATAAATGTACTGTGACGCTCTAGAGTAAAAATGCTAATTTCTTTAAACTTATCTCTCAAAGATACTGTGCGGCCTGGATTGTAAATTTGCTAATTACATGATTAACAAAAAAATAAAAAAATTCTATATTTCCACTATGACATTATTCATACCTTTTTTTACAATAGAATTGATGACAAAGAGCATTCAACAAAACAACGTTAGTTTTAAACTTGTATACCTATCTGTCGATTGAAAACGTTTAAACAATGTAGACCACATTGTCTTTAAAAGTGTGTTCCGAAGTGGCGAACAGGCGCGTCTCGGTCTCACGGTGTCCAAGCTTGTCTTTGTTTAAAGCGCAAACGCTTCTCGGAACAATATACCTGACCCGGCATTTTTTCAATGAACCATAGCTCCACGTTTCGGTTTTATAACACAAGTGTTTAAATCAATACAAACTTACTTCTTTTGTGTTTCGTTAAGCGGAGACATAAAAATATTCTACGATGCATTTTAACTTGAAATACACATTCCGTCAAAACGATTTGTTAAAACTGTTGCCTTGCATTATTTCACTTTGGTAGTTGAAAATTAGTTTTTTTATTTATTTACATTCAGATTACAAAAGTCCAATAAATACATACCTTATAGACTAACATACATAATAATATAATAAAACACTAACATTATTTATTTACACGTACGTACCGCGACGTGTGACGCAACGTGGGTGTCCGGTAACCATCCTCGGAAACGTCGGTACATGATACTCTTCGGCCAAAAGTCCTCCTACATGAAAGTCGACAGATGTTGAGTTGGTACTCTCACCACAAATGCTCCTCTGCTCGACCCTCAGGGTAGCATTGTCTTTCACCCGTATGTACTCCATAATATCCGCAGACTTTGTGGAGTAATGAAGTTGTCGGTACCGCTGGACGCAATAGATGATTGGGACCAGGCGGGGCAGTGCACTAAGGTTACGGCTGGTGTACCTCTTTTTCTTTTCCACCCTTTTGAAACCGTCCTCGTCGCACTGGTGTACTCCTCGGTAGTATTAACGACACAGCTCCTGAGATGAGCTTCCGTTTTTTCTTCTTCCCCTTCGTTGGTTGTCTGGGTTGTGGTTATGGAGCAATGAGTCGGATAGGGGGGTCAACGTGCTTACCTGACGTCTCCGTCAGGGCCAAAAACGAGGGGATTAGTGACAATTTGTCTAGCTTTACCTGTGGCCGAGTGTGCTTACCATCGCACTATGACAAAATCAGTGGTAAGGACCCATTTAGTTCTTGCAGGTTGTCTGTTTCTATGATATTTAAAATAAATATTGTAAACGACATGTACAAATGTTTATGTATAAAGAGCAACCCCTACTGCTTTTTGCTTATACCTCTAAAGGGCCTTACTAATGACAAGTAGAGTTCAATCAATAAGACAAATTCAAGTGTAATTTGCTTACCTATGAAATAAAAATTGCTCGACTTTGACTTAGACTTTTTTTATAATATCCAGTGATGGGACGAACCATTCGTGTGGCTGGTGGTAAGCTACACGCCTGTACAGTCGGTGCCCTCACTTATGTATCCACTATTTATATAGCACTTAGTACA